GTGAGCTTGGAAGACCAGAATGCTGATAGGAATGCAGACAATGAAGATTGTGCTCATGAGGTTTTAGAAGAGAATGAGGACTCTATTTGGAATTGGAGTAGAGGATTCATGTTATATACTGTCAAAGTGTTTGTCTGTATTTTGCCCATGCCCTGAAACTTTGAGTGGGACTTAGATTAATGGTGATGGACTTGTTTATCTGGAAAAGGCGATTTCAAGGTTGCTTTCAGATTTGCAGTAAGAATCTGGAACAAAAAGCAGTTTGACCAGAAAAATAAGCCCATGTAAAGTTGGGGCCAGGGAAGGTGTGGTTGCTGAAGAGATTAACACAATTAAAAAGAAGCCAAGTACTTTGCACTGGGAAAATAGAATAAGATGCCTTGAGGGCACCTCAGGAATTGACCTAGACCCCCCACTTCACAGGATCAAGGACATAAAGGTGTAAACTTGTTTGAAAGACTTTATTTGTGGAGTTGGAGGAGATTGCTGCTCACACAAGTTTGTCTAGGGAATTGGTCCCCTGGAATTCACTCCCCCGTGCTCATATGTCCAGGTACTCAGAGGCTGCTTGCAGTTGTGGTTTAGGTAGACTCAGCTACTGCTCAAATCAGTGGCAGACCTTGACCTTGTCCACATGATGCTGATTTTATAGGCAAGAATTATAGGATCACCAAACTTGAAGCCACAATCACTCCTTAATTCTTCCTTTCTCTGGACCCTTCATAATCACTCAGTAAGCAACGAAAGCCCTACCCATTCTACTTTCACATTCTCATATCCCTCTTTCCTTTTCAGTCTTCACTTCTATTTTCCTGGTTGAAACATCTTCTTACTAAACTCTTAACAGTAACCTGCTGATGGGCTTTCCTACATCCATCCCCCAACAATCCATTTTCCATATCTACTATTGGAAATATTTTTCTGAAGTTCATATTTGATCATGTCACATCTAGCATTTCTTTCTAATCACATAAAGTTTGTAGCAGTACAATTAAGATCTTTAGTGATCTGGCCTTGCCCATTCTTTCCTGCTACAGCTTCTATTCCTCCTTCCCACATAGATCTTCTTGAGTCTCAGCAGCCTGTTAGACATGCCCTAAGATGCCACACATTCCTGTGCCTTCTATGTTTCTGCTCATCTGTTTGTTTTTCCCCATACCCATCCTTTTTCTGATTTTCTACCCTCCAGTGAGTTATCTATGCACAGACTTGTCTTGCCAGCCAGATTGCAGGCTCGTTATGCGAAGACTGTTTTATTCATCTCTATGTCTACAGTACTTGATCCATAGGAAGTATCCATAAATATATTGAGTCCGCTGAAGTCCCCGCCAGCCCACCTGTAGACAGCTAAATATGTACCTTATACAGAATCAGATTTCCTGTAACCTCAACCTTACACAGCTAAAAATCTGAAATCATATTTTTAAAAATATGCAAGCACTAGAAATAAAAGCTTCTGCACTAGAGACATGCTCTATGATTTTCATACCACCCTGGGCTTTTATTCACAATCTATACTTATTTAGTTTAATGCTTTATAAGATTGTTTAATTGCTGTTCTAGTTTCCAGTATATAAACAAACCAAACCCAGTGTAGAAATACAAGAGTATATGTCCTGTGATGGCCAAGAAGATGGGCTGACAATTTTCATCAGATGAAGATAAAAATCCTCCCCCCCCCGAAAAAAAGAGAAAACTAATTTTGGCACAGATTAGTAACATGTATTACTAATAATGACTCACCATAAAGAAAGGTTGCTTTAGTTCCTCTGCCCTCCTCTTTAGAAGGCAGTATATTCTGTAAAATACTTCAATAAGATATTCTGTTCAAGATGATTGACACAAAGTTTTATCATATAAAAAAACTAAAGTTTAGGTACTTTATTAATTTACCTTATATGGGACATCTGATTATGTAATGCTGTCAGATAGTGGTTCTTCACTATCACAGAGCTGTTTTTCACAGATTTTGCATATTGAAAATATAAAAATCGGGGCTGGGATTGTGACTCAACGATAGAGTGCTCACCTAGCACATGTGAGGCACTGGGTTCGATCCTCAGCATCACATAAAAATAAAAAATAAAATAAAGATATTGTGTCCAACTACAACTAAAAAATAAATATTTTTTAAAAGAAAATATAAAAATCTGTTGAAGGAGGAGAATTTTTCTTCTGTGCAGTTTCTTTCCTGAATTCAGTCCATTACTGTAATATAATATTTATAAACTACTGGCAGTTTGCCCCCAGTAAAGCTAGTACAAGATATTCACAGGTGTATCTTAGTGCAAAAAAATTAAAATAACAATTGTTTTCTTTGTATGATGTTATTTCTGCTAGCATTAGAGTAACCCATTTGTTTGTTCTTATTCCTTCTTATCTACCCATCTTCATGTCATGATATTTAGCAGTATAGTTGGATAATTTCTAGAAATATGTACAATCTCTACATGATTCTAGAACCAAATGTTAAATTGTGGTGTTTATGAGTGTGATACAGAAATTCATAGATGAGAAAGATTAATGTGAACTAAAATAGAAATGATATCTTGAAGAACACTGACGTGGAATTGGATCCTTTGTAGACACAGCTGGGCATATCTGTCTCAGGGAAATGTGGCCAGGTGTCCATTGGCCCTTCAACTCAATATCACCTGTTGAGAAAGTTTCAAGGTTCCCTGTTGGCTTGTTTATCCCCACAAAAATTTCAACAGAACTGAGCATAAAACTAATGTATGACTAATACATGAATTAAAAATTAATTAATAAAATATATAAGCTATAAATTATATGTGTATATTATACCGTAACATAAAAAGCTAGGTTGATTTTGTGACATGACTAAAGAATAACAGAACTTATTTTGCATGTACCAGAGCTTCTACCCCAAAGTGAGTGGTGTTCATCTTCCCATTCCATTATGGGAACCTGTATACTCTTCTCTGTAACACTGCTATTTCTCAAAATATCTTTGGAACTCCTCCTCTGAATTTCCTTCAGAGGCTGACTCATTCTTTTCAGTATCCTCAGAATCTTTTTCAGCTAAGAGTAGATTTGAATTTAGTAAGGAGAAGTCACATAGGGCCAGGTATGGTGAGTAAATCAGAGAATCGGCTGAGAAATGCTATTTTTGGTAACTATAAGTAATGAGAGTGTTTTCTAGTTTGACTCATAAAATAACCAAAAATAGTTATCATCATAAAACAAAAGGTAAGTTGGAAGTTTATCATTTTAAAGTCTAGTCTGATTGCTCTTATAATTTTCTGGCCCCAGAATTGGTCATTGTTCCCCAGAATCCTGACCTGTTTTATCTGACCTCACAGCCCCATGAAACCTGTCTATTTTTCTTTCCACATTCCCACTACAGATTCATCTTCTGACCCTCTTGTTCTCTGGCAGAGCCTCCTCCTTAGGGCCCTGTGCACTACCCAGAGGTACCTTCCCTTTCAAGAACTAGTCCAGTTCCTACTCCTGGAAGGGAATCTTTTCACTTCCTAAGTTCCACTAAATTTATAGTGAGGCTCCTTTCTTTTTGAGGAAAGGCCTATTCAAAAAAATGGTTGCTATCCCCAGGAAAATACATCCATGTTGAAGAATTTTTCCCCTGAGAAGCTTGTTCATAAACTTCTCACTATCATTTCCACCATGCATATTTGGGGCTTTGATGTTTGGGGTCTTGGAATCAGTCTTTACCCTTCCAACTAACCTCCAAGTTTCTTATTGGTAAGGAAATAGTACTCCTTTTCTTTCTTTACTGTATACACAAAAATGCTGAGTATATAATGATTGCATTCTGAAAATTTGGGGGGGGGTTTAAAAGGTTTTTATGTTGTTGTTGTTTTTTAATCTACCTGCCTGCTACCATTGCTATCACATTTGGTTTTTATAAGAGACAGAGTTTTAATTTTTTTTGTTGTTTATAAGATAAAAGCTCAGTGTGTTAGGTTACATATCACAGGACATCCTTTAAGCCCCAGATGATATCCCTAAAATGTGTTTCTCAGGAGATAATCCATATCTTCCTGTTTTGACATATAAATAAATACTGTGAAGCTTAGATGCCATAGATCCTGTTATATAGCAGAGCAGATTTTATCCCCTTTACACATGACACGAGGACTCTCTCCTGCTGTTACACAGGAAACCAGTAAAGTATATGCTATTGTCATCTCCTGAAGCCAACATAATCAAACTGTAATGTATACAGTGAAAATTCAACAGGCACTTCATTTTCAGATTGGCCAAACCCACATCAGAACTTACACAGTTTATATCAGGTTTGGGATATTTTGAATCATGAATTTAAAACTTTATTTTATCAAAATACTTAGGGTAAAACTCTTCTGGATAATGTAATTTTCTGTTTAACTGAGTTCTTAAAATTTAAGCATTTAATAAAATGGATGGTAAACCTGTTAATTTAATGTTCAATTGATCCTGACCCAGATCTTGGATGATCTCTGATAAGTATTTGTGATTATTATAGCACTAGATGGCTGGCAAAGATATGAGATTATAGTGACTATCCTAGAAACATATCCTGAACATCTGCTTGTTGAGAGCAATGGATTTGTCTTTGTGGTTTTTTAAACATTTTTATTAGTTGTTGATGGGCCTTTATTTTATTTATTTATATTCAGTGCTGAGAATCGAACCCACTGCCTCACACATGCTAGGCAAGTGCTTGCTCCACCACTGAGCCACAACCCCAGCCCTTTTGTACTTTTTTTAACAGATATTTTCATCAGCTTATTTTTCCTCATTTTCCCTTTCCTAAAAGCAGAGTTTTTGATTGTTTTGTTGCAAATTACTTGAGATCTTGCAGGGTGTGGCTTCTGGGTTCTTCAGGGAAGGAATTCCTGTTTTAATTGTTAAACCACACTTCAAAGGTAATGTAAAGAATCTGCTGAATTATTTATGAATGTTAAGACTCATTACACTTTAATGTTTCATGAATAATTTTACTATGTTAATATTTTGGGCTTTTTTATTATATCTAGTTAAAAAATCTAAGTTTAGAAGAACTGCAGATGCGGTTAAAAGCACTGGACCCCATGATGGAACGAGAAATAGAAGAACTTCGTCAAAGATACACTGCAAAAAGACAGCCTATTCTGGATGCAATGGATGCAAAGAAAAGAAGGCAGCAAAACTTTTGAGTCTAATTTCTCTCTGTTTTATAGCTACTCTACAGACCAAGAAACCACTAAGAATTAAAAGAATACTATGAGGTTTTTTTTAATCCCTAAGATTTATGCTCTACAGCTAGGCAAAGATCAAAAACTAATGATGGCACATATCTATGAAAGTTCCCAAAAGACACAATTTACAATTGTTTCCACTGTGTTTTCATTTTTAAACTATGAGAACAATAGAAATGTGTTCTTCTCTCTCTCTCTCTGTCAGCTGAATACCAGCAATAAGGCTGTTATGAAATGAAGGCTGTATTTAGAGACCTTGAAGATCCAAAGCTATTGTTTAATTGTATAGCAATGAAGGGCTTTATGTTATAATATTCTTTACCTAGAAGCCTATTTATTATTGTATCTTCTTAGGTAGACTTATTTATTTATGCTATTTCACTTAGTTTTGTTTTTAAAAGGCAGGACAGGATAGTTTTATGAAGGTTAACAGTGATAATGTACAACCAAATTATATTTTAAGCAGGGAGCTAGGGGTACATACCTTGATTTCCAGGATAGTTTTCCAATAAAAGCAAAGTGTAATAGCAGTAGTACCCAAATGGGCTAGGCTTTTTTATATTGAAGCAATAAATTTTTACTTTTCAAAATTTTGATTTTTTGATTTTTGATATTTGGTACAAGTAGAAATATATATATATATATATATATATATATATATATATATATATATAGTCAAACAGACCAATAATGTTTAAAACCAAAGAAATGAATGAAACTTGCACAAAAGAAAGTATAGTAAATATTTTTAAATAAATGAAACCTTAAGACGAATGTAATTTGTTAATATTGTTTCATGTTTCTTGTATAGGTCTCTTAGCTAAACTGAATCAAACTGTAATAAGCTCATCAACCTTATTTCTGTGAAAGTGTGCTCTGTATAGTCACAGGGCTTGTTGTTGATTTCATTTATTTCCTGGAATTGGTAAACATCATGTGCCTGATGATAACAAAATAGCAAAAACATTTGTACTAAACTGTGCAAGCCTTGGGGACTGGGGGGTGGGGGAATGGTTAAAAGCATTAAAAAGAAACTCATTTCTAAGCTGAATGAACATTTGTATAATTGAACTGGGACCAGTTGTTTCCTAAGCTACATATGGCCATCTTGACAGTGTTTGTTCTTTTCTGTCTTTAATTATTATGTGTAAGTCATAAAGAAAAATAAATTTTACTGTGTCACCCAGCACATTTCATCTCTGTATCTTTTTTAAAACTCACGACCTAGACTTTCTTTTCCAAGCAAGGAAACTACAATAGGCAGGAAAGGCTAGATTATGAAGGGATAATAAACCTCAAACTTTAGTGGCTTAACTTGACAAGGCTATTCCTTATTTGAGCCCCAGGCCCATCCCATATTGGCAGAGGACCCTGCTCTCCTCATCCACTCCCAAGGACACGCTGATACAACATTTGTGGTCACCATAATTGGGAGAGGGCCCTAGCAAGTCACTCTCACTCTAGCAGCAGTGATGTGTCAAGTAATCCATAACTCAGTATTCAGAATCAGTCACATGGCCACTCCTAATTATATAGGTCAAACAGACCAGTAATGTTTAAAACCAAAGAAATGAATGAAACTCTTGCAAAAAAAGAAGCAAGTAAGTACAACCTTACCATGTGGCTAGAATTTGCCAATGTCTGCCACAGAAGGTACATCATCTCTGGACAGCTTCCATTCCTTTGTTTGTTTGATATATATATATTTAGTTGTAGATGGACCCAATACCTTTATTTTATTTATTTATTTATTTATTTATTTATTTATTTATTTATTTATTTTTAATGTGGTGCTGGGGATCAAACCTTGTTAAGATGGTCAGATGAGCTGATCAACTCAACTCAGCCCTATTTCCCCCACCACCACCACCAACCTAACACCTAGCCTGGTATGACACAATCAAATGACTTATTTGCTATCATCCAAGCCAAACCCCCTACATCAAATGAAGATGTGTTCTCTCCAGTTTGCCTAAATTAGAAAATCTGTACAAATTATTTCATGAGGCCTGTTGTTAGCCCTAATTCATTATGAACAAGAGTTCTCCTTTTAATAATGTCATGTTCTGATCACAATGTAATTTTTATGTGAATAGAATTTATACCCTGTTACATCTATATCTATTTATATATAATGAACACACATATTTAAGAGAATTAAGAACAATAGATGATGTTTTATTTTAAAGCTATAGGAAATTCCAAAACATTTTAGGATAACTATCTTGAAACTTTTCCTATCTTCTCACTTCCACCCCTACCAAAAAACAAAACAAAATTTAAAAACAGGTTTTTAAGAACTATACTTGAAAGTAATCTTCAAGTCTAGTTAAGCTTTGATCAATCATGATACTTAGGAAAGCATATTTCTAGTTATTTTAATGTGTTTAAAAAGAAACCTCTTATTTTGACCTTGGTTGCTGAGAACTTCCCAAAAATAGGTAAGCGCACTTTCTGCATGCCCCCACTCTTTAATAAATACAGTATGTGAATGTAAGCGAAGCTCATGAGTCAAGGTTTACTCATACTGCAAAGCCAGCATTGTTGTATATATTGTCCTGTAGATGAGAAAGGTTTTTCTTTGACTTTATGAACTTAGATGACTCATTTCTCCAGACTTACAATACATTGACACAGCTTATTTTTAGCATGGTTTTATGTTCAAATTATGAGCTACTTTGGCCTATATAAGAAGAAAAATATATTTATTTAAATGGATTTCAAAATAATAATAACAGCACTTTGGGGGTACTTACTATGTGTCAGACAATCTTACCTACATTACTTACCTGCTTTTATATTTCTTCTGCTTATTTACTGAAGCACAGCCCCCAAGTCACGCTCTACTCACTGATGGGTATGTAGCTTCTCTTCTCTAACGGAAATTATATAATACGTTAATAAGATGTTTTTAACTTAGTCACAGGAAATCTTTTCAAATTTTTGACACATTAACATTCAGTAGGAATGCTATTTTTGTTTCCTATTCTATATGATAAAGATTAATGATTAAAATAAATCCTGAAAATACTGGTATTCTAAATAGAACATTAAAAAAATAATTGGAGTTACATTGCTTTACCTAACCATTATTAGGCACAGACATTTAATTAGATATTTCATCAAAATGCTATTTTGGAGTACAAGGTATTCTTTTTTTGGCACAGAAAACTATGAATCTAGAATCTAATGAGCTCTATTATTTTTTGCTTGTTTGAGCAATGTGATGCAACCTAGACCCAGGGAATTGTATATACTTTAGGTGGGCAGTCCCATACCACTGAACATGTGCTCCAGGGTGACATGTCCTCCAGGAATCCAGTCCAAGTCCACACAAAACATCTTCACCCCCAGCCAACCACTTCCCAGTCCTTTATGGGTCACAGAAAGACACAAAACCAACTCCATTCTTCCATCAATTCTGTAAAAACAATTCCAAGTTTATGTCCTTCTCACATCATTAGCCAGATTCCCTACCACTAATTTCTTCACTGGATTAATCTACCTAAATAAAAATTCTGATCTTTTTCTCACTTTTCTGCTCACCCTGTATTGCCTACCCAATTACAGGGAACTCTGCCTCCTAGTATTCAAGATCTGCAATATCCTCAACTGACATTTATGGCCTCATCTACTGTTATTTCTTTATTTGAAAGAGACCTTTCTCTCCTCTAAACAGAACTGCTTCCAAGCCCATTATAGTGATTCTTTTATCTTGCTGGGTTGTGAGGTTCTTGAAAGCAGAGATGTTTATCCGTCTTGTTTCACTACATTTCTTGCCAGTATATTAGATATAAATTGATATTAAAGTTTCATTAAATGCAGTGAGCTCAAACGATGAAATTGTCATCATTAATCATATAGGCTGTGTCTTAAGCATCCAGTCACTGTTACAACAACATCTACCATTGTTTGAGCTAAGTCATGTACTTTTGATACATTATCTGAAAACTTCACAACAAAATGCATATTCCTTCCAATGAAAACGAAAGGAAAGATTAGAAGGAAAGGATTGGAGAGATTAAATGAGGTCACATAGCTAGTTAATGCCAGTATGGGCTTTAAACTTCCATCTGTCTCCAAATCTTTGCTTTTTCCACTAGACCACATTGTCTAATAAACACAGGAGATCTGGTTCTAGAATGTTGGATAGGGTTGCTAAGCCTGCCTGCTCATCTATTTAGGAGATAATTAAAACTTAGAAGAAGATCATTGGTTAGCTGTTTTTACCTTTTTCACATTTCATTGGAACCTGTGTTTCCTGAAATGACATCCTTTCTGCACGTTCAGAAAAATGCAGGGTGCATTTACTCAAGCTTCCAAGATGAGTTATAGAGGATGTTTTTCCTTTATTATTAGGATACATGTGGAGTTCTTGCGCCTTGAACACTGGTTTTTTGGTAAACTATAATGTATTCTATTATCTCCCTTACCAGTTTTTCTTTGATAATGAGTACTTTAGGGAAACATTTGTCAGCATAGTGGAATGAGTCTAGCATCAGAAGCTCAGTGACAAGGGTTCCAATCCCAGTTCTTTACATATTTGTTATCCTGGGCAAAAATAACCCTACCAATATGTTTCAATTTCTTTATGTGTAATAATGCAGCAGTTATGAAGATCAAATATGTACATGTAAAACACTTTTAATATAAAGTTCCTAGCGTAGGACACTGAGTGTTAGCTCAAAAAGAAAATTTTAATCCTTTTTGGTTTAGTGCATTGTTTTTGCAAGAAAAAGACTTTGTTTGTTGATAAGCAAATTTATTGTTACTTCTAAGGTGAATTACACCCTTCTAGAACCCAGACATGTTTTCCATTAAGGGCTGGCTTAGTCTACTCTCAGGTAGTGGTTTGTACTGAGAAGAATCTAACATTTGATTTTTAAAAGTATTTCCTTTTTACACAGAGCAAAGTTGTATTAAGCTAAACTTTTTTTCAACCTCTCTTTACAACTATTTCTGTTATATGGGATTATTATTAAGGTTTGGACATTTATTCATATATTGCCACATTTGTGAAGACCCATCAGGAAATTTCAGCCCCTAAAGTTTTGTTTCACAAAAGTGTTAGCATTCTTGTTCCTTACAAAGGTGAATTATGTAATTTACTTGGCCCCAGTTTACTTTCATTCCAGGAAACTCAAAATCAAGTTTACATTTTAATAGCCTTATGAGATTCTGTGATCTGCAAATCTATATTTCCTGATCCTGTATTTATAAAAACTGAAAACATTTTTTAAAGGAATTATCTGGAGGTATGAGTTCGTTCACTGTACACAGTAAGAGCTGGTTCCCTACCATGTGTAACCTTTATATTGTTTTCATAGGGTGCTTATGAGTGTGTCAAAGTGATTAGTTGTTCAGGTTCAGGGTCTGGAGCACTATTGGAGTTTTCCATGTGGGAGTATGCCACCCAGGTTCCAGAAGACTCAGATAACTGTCCTTCCTCTTCTGGAAGGAACTAAGAAAAAATACCATAATTGTCCTTGGTCCTCACACCTTCTTCCCCCTGACCTGTTCAAATCACATGTACACAAAAACTTTCCAGGAAGTACCTTCTAGCCCCAGGCCAGATCACAGGTCAAAATCCCTTAAAAAAATCTGTTTACCTTTGTATTTTACCATTTTTATTATTCTATTCATAAACGACTTCGTATTTTCAATGAAAAGAGAAGGATATGAACAATAAAAAAGAGAAGAGCAAAAGAACAAAATTCTAAAACATGATACCAATGACAGTTTTAACCAAAAATTACAAAATAGAATCATACCCATATATCCTTTTTTTATGAGGAAGCACTAAGAGCTAATGAGTTCTAAAATTTTTCTTGTAGAAAACCCAGTGTCTGCCTGTGTTTAATCAAGCAACTAGTTGTCTTAAATTTTTATAGGATTTTCCAAGGTGATCTGTAATTAGCTGAGTGGAAGCTAAATAAAACCTGAGACTAGAGCGCTCAGCTTTTAAACATTCTCTTTCTAATGTTTCAGTGTGTACAGAGCATGCTGGATGGGGGCAATCCTGCAGCTGTGCATTTTCAGCCTTTCCATTTATTCCATGACAGCTTTCTTTCCTATTTAAAAAGAAAATATTCTTGGCAAGAATATTCAAATGAGAAGACATAATAGCACTTGGAACAGAAGACTTTGATGTTAAAAAAAAAAGATACACTGAGGAATCTGAAATGTAGAACTGTTTAATTATTAATGAATTGATATGAAAATTCATGAATTCATTCTATGTTGACCTTTCAGAAAGTATATAAAAGGTTTTTTTTAAGTATACTAGCTGATGACCGTAAATCAGTTCACCCTCTTAGAATGTGATCTTTGAAAATTATACCTGATAGTATCTGATATTAATGGACTACTGAACCTGAGCCTTAAAAGTTGCCACAAAGTGTTTTATTATTTTGAAGGCAAATTAATTGCCTTAACAAACCAGTAGTGATTTAGAATATGATTTGAATCTGAATATGGTAGGCGGTCATAGAAGTTCACTGAGAATGTTTTGAAGTTCTTTATGCAAAGTTATTTCAATTTCATTACTAATGAGCTTCTGGGGTTTTATTCTTGTTCAGTGAATCCTGATGCCTTACCCAGTCCCCTGACATTTATCCAAAGCAGTAATAGCAAATATATACAAATATACATAATATCCACCCATGGTACCGTATCATTTCTGACTTGGCTGAACAAAAACAACAGATTCTCCTGGCAGAAGGGACCTATCCTTACCTTGTCCAAACTGAAGCAAATCCATTTCTTCAGTTCTTAAGGTTGTTGTAAAAGACAAGCACACTTAAATCTCTTACGCATTGGAACTCATCAAAGGTAGGTGACTTTGAAGCTTGCCACTAACTTGCTTGATGAACATGAATGAGTTACTTAATCCTTCCTAAAAGTCTCCACTTCTTTATCAAGAGAAGACAATTTGAGGGTTATGAAGAGGAAATGAGACAGGGATGTAAGCCTCAGAACAGTACCTGGCACCCACTGAGCACCAGGGGCCTGCTCTTTCTTTCCTCATCCACAACCATCCACTGATCACTATCTCTGTGCCAGCTTCTATGCTAAGTGTGATCACAGAAAAGAAGACGTGGTTTCTGCCTAGATGGTGCTTACAGAGACATAAACAAATCTGGTAGCAAGTGGCAGTGAGAAAGGCTGCACTTAAGAATTATTCAAACTGGGTTTAAGGACAGGGAGAAGGGTATTTGGAGAAGGGAAAAAGACATACAGAAAGGCAGAGATGAGAAACAATCTTTAGTGTACCTTTCAGTGTCTGAGAAAGTTCACTACTCAGTAAAAGCATTTAGGAAAAATGTGTTGAGGATGATTTATATTGCCCTCTCTGTCCTACTTGTGAGGAGAATTTATAGAACCATGTAGTCTGTACCCATCACCAAAAGAAACTCTTTAAATAATTTTCTAGATAAGTTAATTCTAAGTAATAGCTGACCAATTCCATGGTACCAAGATGTACTAGTCATACTGAACTATACTCATTTCTATTATTTAATAAGTATCTAGAAATAATGTTATCTGCGGAGGCTTACTGAGGTTAAGTGTTGGGCAAAGAGTGGAGAGAGGTGGGCAGATGGCTGGCAGAGCACCTGCGGAAACAGGCTTAAGTCCAGCTCTTCAAATATGGTTCACTAGCCATGTGCCCTGAGGGAAAAGTTCATCTCATTTTGTCAGCAATTTCCACTTTCCACCCCACTCCCTTGCTGGGGATTGGGCACAGGACCTTGTGCATGCTAGGCTGCTTTACCACTTAGCTGTAGAGGGCTTACCTAAGTGCTTAAGCACAATCCCTAGTCCCTACTTTTAATTAAGGCAATTTACAAAGAAAGATGTATCAACAATAACAAAGTAGCATAAATTAAGACAAATGAGAAAAGATAAATAAAAACCAAATGTAGGAAAGAAATTTGAATCATTAATGAAAATTTTTTACTGTGAATTTAGTCTAAAGCTTCCTTAAAAACCAAAGTGAAGACGGAAACCAAAAAGAGTTTGTTATCTAACTGTGGTGTCCAACATGAAATCCACTAGCACTTGAAATGTCACCAGTCCAAACTGAGAGGTGCTGTGAGTATAAAATACACTCTTATTTCAAAGATTTAGCACAAAAAAAGGTAAAATATCTCAGTTTTTTATATGTATTGTCTATTGAAATAATATTTTAGATATGTTAGGTTAAAATATTAAAAATTAGTTTCATCTGTTTGTTTTTACTTTTTAAAAATACAAAATTACATATAAGAGGTTGTGAGGGGAATGGGAAAATAAACAAGGAGAGATATGAATTACAGTGGATGGGGTAGAGAGAGAAGATGGGAGGGGAGGGAGGGGGGATGGTAGAGGATAGGAAAGGTAGCAGAATACAACAGTTACTAATAGGGCATTATGTAAAAATGTGGATGTGTAACCAATGTGATTCTGCAATCTGTATTTGGGGTAAAATTGGGAGTTCATAACCAACTGGAATCTAATGTATGAAATATGATATGTCAAGAGCTTTATAATGTTTTGAACAACCAATAAAAAAAATTAAAAAAAAAAAAAATGTGGCTACCAGAAAATTTAAAATTATAGGTATAGCTCACTTTTGTAGTTCATATTATATTTCTATTGGATAGTGATAATGTATAAGATAAAAGCATCCACCAACCAATGAATAGAAAATAAAATGTGGTATATCCATACAAGGAATATAGTTCAGCAGTAAAAAGGAATGAAATAATGGGTACAGAGTTCTTTCTAGGGTAATGAAATGTTCTAAAATTGATTATGGTGATGACTGCACAACTCTGTAAGTATGTTTAAAACCATGGAATTATAAACTCTAAAAAATGAACATATTATATCTTTGTCATAATCATAAAGATAAAAAACCTTGGAATTTGAGAAAGCAAAAGACAAAAGCTTAAAACCCAACTATTAGCACCTAGATAGAAAGTGGCTCTCTAAGGGCAACCATTAGGTAGCATACCATCAATATTCAATCCAGTCAGTATTCAGTTATCAATATTCTCAGAGTAAATACATGGGTGAATTGTGCAGGTCTATCTTTTATTGTGTTTCTAATATGTGCTAATGGCATCATGTTAGATTCAGTAAACATATATGTATGCTACCTTCAGCGTAGACTTCTGAAAATTCCACAGCCAGGCATTCTTAATGCTCCACATATACCTCAATTTCAATGTGACCAAACACTCTTGCCCTGTATTTTCTGTCCAATTGGTACCACCGTCATCCATCCAGTGGCCAATGATAGTAACCTGGGATTCCACTTTGAATCTTCATTGCCTTTCACTTACGCCATTCTATCTCTCCGCCAGTTCAGGCTTCCAAATAGTTCTTGAATCCGAGTCCTCCTGTCTGTTCTCCCTCCTCTATCCAGGCCCTTAATGTCTCCTGACTGGATTATTGCAGCAACCCTTTAACTGATCTTTGCTCCTGGCACCTAAATCAAACCCCACCACCATCTGCTGGCACTATCACCCTAAAATGCCATGAATTTCCATCACTTGCAAGACAAAGTTCATTAAAGCAAACATGGCTCTCCATGACCAGGACCTTGCCTCCCTCTCTCTCCTCATCTCTGGATACTCTCAGTACCCATGTCTGCCAGAGCACCTGCCCACCCTCCTGAATTTGAAGTGACCAACTCTCATTCTATCAGTCCAGCTCGGGAACATCTCCCCATAGGCCTAGATATGGGTCACTGTACCTTCCGTGTTGTTATAGCATTTATTTAGCCTGTCTGCCCTGCCAACCATAAGCCACCTGAGGGTCAGGACCGTGCCCACATTTTTTCTCATCTCCAGAGCACCAGTGCAGGCCCCAACATATATTCATTGAATACTAATGAACTGCAGGTAAAAGAAACATGATTTAAATTTGGAATCTAGAGAAATGGTTAAAAGTCTTATAAACCCAATTTTTAAGTGATAAATGCCCTGTGTGTCTCCATGAGGCATGAATCATGTCTGTTTTTCTCATCACTGTCTCCAATATCATTCAGTACTTGCAGGATGAGTGAATGGGAAAACGAATGAATGAACAGAGGTGCAGGCAAAGAAATATGTTGAAAACAAACTGCTTCCATGAGAATGGGTCTAACAATGCAAAAATTGTCCTTTGTATCATTTCCCAAACCTGAGTCAGATCATTCCTGAAACCTAAGGAAGCATTTATTTTGCCCTGGAACAAATAATTGTCTAATTGGTCATGAAAGTTTAGATGACACATGTTGGTGTGTCCCCGCATTCAACCACATTGTAGAGCCTGGATGAATATGGCCCACTCTCCAAAGGGAGAGACGTGAGCTTCTTTACTGTTTGTGTGGAGTGAAAATGGTCACTTCTCTAGAATTCTTCGGAGAGCATGTCTAGACTGATTCATGCAAGGCAGAATGATGTGTCACAGATGCTTCACAAAAATAAGAAAAAGAGAATGTAGTCTTTTTTTTTTTTTTTGGCTTTGGCTTTGGCTCTGCGATGGTTGCTTTTTGTTCTTATAATTCTATAGTCAATAATATAGAAACATGAACAAAAATGAAGAGATATCTTTAATTTTTCAGGTAGAGCAGTGGGTGAGAAGGCATGAGAACTGTGCCAATTCTGGGGAAAGGAAAGAGCAAGAGGAATGGCCAACAAATTTGACAACAGGCCAGAGGCTTGAGGCAAAGCTGAAGCCAAGAGATTCCCAACATCTGTAATGGCACATGGCAGATTCTTAATAAGTGTGGGCCGAACGAATAAATGTGGAGGGTAATACTGACTTTCCATCTGACTTTAAAGAAAACCCTTTTAATTGTGTTGATTTACATTTTAGTGGTTATGGCTCAGCTTTGGACACAGAAAGAAGGGGGATGGAGCCCAGCTCTGCCACTTCCCAGTGGCATGGACAAGGCACTCAGTCTCCAAATGAAGCTATTATGCATCTAATTGATCATCAGAGGGATGTGTTTAAATGAACTCTAGTACAACCACACAATGCAGTCGAAAAGAATGAGGATGGTCTTTATAAAAAGTTATGGAAAATTTCTGAAAAATGTTAAGAAGTTTCCAGAATAAAGCCACCCACAAAACCACTTCCCCATTCTCCAGGTATAGAGATATGTAAATTTGTAGAAAAACTCTGGAAGGACGTACACCAATGCAGCAATAGCAGTTATTCGAAGTAGGGGACAGATATTGAAGGGTGGTGACCATGTGTGTTTTGAGTAAATTTTTTATGTAGATTTTAATTTTTAATAACAAATGCATTCAACTATTACTTGTAAATTACTGTACCTTAAAACTACATTTAAAATATCTACATCCTAGTACTGGGTCAAAGGCTAAAATGAAACAATGACTATAAATGCATTGCCTGACAGAAAAAAAAAACAAAAACTCTTATTACATAGACTGTGTACACCATTCCCAGTAAGGATTCCTGGAAAGGGCAATGGGAACCTCAGGTCTAAGAACCAGCTCCATGCCTGTCACTTTCTTTACAACGGTCCTTCCTATAAGGTACATGTTATGTGTGACATTGGGCTAGTTACTCTCTATGCTTCAGATTACTCATCTACCACAGGGAATAATAATAGGACCTATTTTATAGATATGGTAAAAAAGTTAACACATGGGAAGCTCTTGAAATAGTAGTTAGTGAATATTAACTATTAACATGACATTATCATCTATATACTTGACCTAAGAAGACAGATGCTTTAAAGATGGTATTACTTAACCAAATTCATGCGGCTAGTAAATATCTGACCTAGAATTTTAATGAAAATTTCTGCGAGGTTTTTACACTGTACGCGTGTGTGCACACACACACACACATACACATAAACAAAATATGGGCAGGATGGGGTTATGTGGTTTAAAGAATGCAGAGTTTTAATTTGGGATAATAAAAAAGTCAAGAGACAGTGAATATGGTTGCCCAACGATATGAATAGACTTAACGCCACTGAATTGTGCACTCAAAGTGGTAAATTTTATGTTATATATATTTTATCACAATTAAAATTTAGAGGGGCTGGGGTTGTACCTCAGTGGTAGAGCGCTTGCCTCGCATGCATAAGGCCCTGAGTTTGGTCCCCAGCACGGCATAAAAATGAACAAATAAAAATAAAGATATTGTGTCCATCTATAGCTAAAAAATATATTTTAAAAAAATTTAGAAAAATAAATTAAAAGAAAATAAATTTCAAAAAACTGAAATAGAATAAATTTGCCTGAAGACTGCCAGTCTAGAAACTATAACCGCCTCCCAACAGCCTATGCCTGGGGCTCTCGGCCTCTGGCTGTGCCTCCTACATTTGCAAGGTCTAGATTCCTTCCATCACCCCAAGGCCCCACCATCCACCCTCCCAGCAGCCTCCCAAGCCCTCTCTCAGCCTTCAGTTTGGTGTAGCTTGTCCCAGTGGAGTTTGAAGCTGGCAGCAGCTGTCCCTGGTCCTGTCTGGTCCTGTTCTTAGGAATCTGACAGGGCTCTTCCCTCTGATGACCCTGCTCCCCCTATAAGCCCTAGCTCTGCGTTACCGCCTCAGTGAAGGCCAGAGTGGTGCCTGTCTTGCCTCACATCTCACAGCCAGCGCAGGGGGGACTTGTGCACACTGTAAGTTGCTCTTCCCGCACCAGCACATGCCCTACCAGCTGGATTGGAGTTCCAGCCAGCAAACTGCAGGACCAAATCAGTATGCAGACCACATTCTGCTTAGCTTGTCACAAAGAGGAGACCTTTAAATAAAGGGCTCACATTTGGTTTTTGTGTTTTGTTTTTCTGGAAGACAAGCAATGAAATATTAATTAATGTTAAGACTGTTTCTCTAACCAGCACAAGTGATACTTACCATTCCAACTATGGGCACATCTAGTGACCTCTGCTCTAAAGCCTGACAACATGGACACTCTCTGCTGGACCCTGCCCCAAAGGAATTAGGTGCGTATATTCCTTTTGACATGATTCACCTGTAAACTGGCTCCCACATTAGTCATTACCCAATGGGAACATCTGGCAAGACTTCCTCAGTCCCAGTGCTCATTTGGAATTGGGTCTCATAGGAAGGCTGTTCCTTGCCATCTCATTGTTGGTGGCATTGCTTGACCAGCATATCACAGGTCTCCAGCAGGGAAGGTTTGCTAAAAATGTCAGTGCAGTGCAAACTTTTTACAGAGGCCTCCCCACCCTCGCTTCAGCTGTGCTGCGGGTTAAATTGGCTCCCCAGGGCCATGCAATTTACCCAGGGTCATAGCAATGAGACAGCCCCCTGTCCTTGGTTCCTTTGTCATTTGTCAGCATTTACTCTGTGCCAGGCACTGTCCTGGGCACTGGAGATAAACATTTCTGCACTCAAGTAGCTTCCAGACCAGTGGGGATGACAGACATTACCCACTAACACAAATGAAAAATTACTATAATGCCTAAGAAAGAAAAGGAGCCGATGCCATAAGACAACATAAGGGAGAGACACTGGGTGGCAGAAAATGTAGTTTAAATTCTGTTGGCTCAGAGGAAGCCTCTCCATGGAAGTAACGTCTCACGGGAGCCCCGGAGAACAGCTGTTTCCACCCCCTTCTCCCAAAGGGTATGGCTGCCCTGTCTCCTGTCACCCCCATGTTCACACACAAAGGCACAAATGGATTCAAACATATAGCTTGGCACATGGACAAACACAGTGATTCACATAGACACTGAGACACACATATAAGTACATACATACAAAGACACACACACAGATACACACAAAGCAATCGAGCACATGTGTGTGGCTACACAGATAGAAACACACGGGCACATAGACACACACAGAGACCAATACAGACACATACATGCACAGAGACTCTCAGGCATGTGCACACACACAAACACGGGCACGTATCCTTCTGTGACATATTAAACCTGCTCCTGAAAGGCCATCTGAGGTGCCTTTTCACCCAATGGCTCCCATTGGAGGCTGGGGGCCCGGGGTGTCAGGGGATAGTCATTCCCATTGCATCTTTGTACAGGGTGTGGCCAATGGCTTTGCACCCAGTAAACAATGGCTCTTGTTTGAAGTAGTTCTGCCTCTTGGTTGCTCTGCAGGCAGTGTTGCTGAGGCCTGTGCTCCAGTCTCATTGAATATGTGACATCTGCACATTCCAGTTTTCAAGCATCAAACTCTTCCCTGAAATATCAGCACAAACCAGTCCCTCAGACTCAGAAAAGTCTTGCTAGTTCTAAAGCTTTGACACACGTTTGCATATTCCACTGAAGGCAGAGAAGCCCAGGCAAATGTGAAGGTCAAGAGATTTTGGGTTGGCTGGAATTTTTTTTTTTAATCATAAGAGGGCTTTAAACACACACACACACACACACACACACACAGGTTTTTAAAAAATAGGGAAGTTATTGAATAATCAGTGAGCTCATGCTTTATAATTGGAAAATTACATAGCAATATATTTAAATGCTGCACATAGAACATCACCATCCTCCTTCTGAGCCTCAACTCATTGGCTCTCAAGTTCCTGGGCAGAGTGAAGGCCAGAGTAGAATTGGTTTACTTCTGGAGCTCTGTTTGTTCCCACCAGCTCCTTATTTTAAAAGCAGTCCTCAAATCCAAGGAAGACATAAAGAAAGCTGCTTGGCTTCTCTGTAGGAGCCAGAGGGAAAGCCCAGGGACACCCTGGTTTCTCTGCACGGTTGTTTCCCTCCTCTCCTCCCACATTTTCCACAAAAAGAAATGCAGAATACATCCCCATGAGGGTGACCTTTGTAATAACTGACCCTGAACACACTGGATTACAATTCAGCTGCTCCCTGTAGAGTCAGCCCTGACAGACTCACAAAGTTTGCCAGAAAAGTCGATAGAAGGCTGACAGATCAAAAGTGAGTCGTGCCAGCTCCACTCTTAGGAAACAGTTAGACGGGTGTCTGACTGCTGACACCTCGGTTCTTTTCATAGTAGGTCTGAAAATAGCTCAGAATTCTTTAAATGTCTGGAGATGTAGGCGATGAAAAGAGTTTTGAGTGCAAAAACCCTCCCCAAGAACCCCAATTCTGTTTCTGCCACATCACCCAGTCAGTCTGCTCAGGCCACATTCCTAGGTGTTCAGGGACCTCTGGACAGCCCACATCCCTTTGAGAGATTGTCAGTCTGGGATTCAGAACTGGCCACCCATGAAGGGGTGAGGATTCTGATCATCTAACATTCATATTACCAGACCCTTTGGGCTGTCAACTTTGTGTGTCCCTTGCTACAAACCTCTCATAACTCTGTGGCCTGCCCCTGTTGCCCCATTGAAAGGCACCTCCTTCCTAAATAGGCCCTTTTCTCTGTCTTAGGCCTTTAATGGGCCCATGTGGATTTTCCACTTTTTCATTCCTAACCCTTCATATCTGTGGTTGTATTTAACATAAACACCAGTAGTGGCCAAAGAAGTCACCAGTAGGTCTAAGATGCTGAAAGGGGAAAGATAAACTCTGGGGTTGGTAAACGATGTAATAAAGGAAGAATCAGTTGGGGCAGACCTAGACATGAGTCTGTGGGGAATTTACAAAACACAAGTTAATAAGGATTGAAGCCTAGGGAGAGTCTTTAGAATGGATACCATGGGCCCAGGTGCGGCAGTGCTCTGATGAAATCATTGGTCAGACCTGAAGCCCAGTGTGTATGGGAATGAGGGAAACTGCCCGGACAGTGAAGGGGCACCCCTAGATGGCATTTCTCCAGGCATGGTCTGAAAACCACCTGCTTCAAAATCACCTTGTCCAGTTGTGGTGCAGGTTCATGCAGGTAATCCTAAATTAATCCCAAATGATTCCAAGGCTGAGTCAGGAGGACCAAAATTTCAAGGCCAGCCTCAGCAACTTAGTGAGATCCTAACTAAAAAACAAAAGAAAAATCACCTGGGATATTTGGGGATGTAGCTCAGTGGAAGAGTGATTGCCTAGCATGCATGAGACCCTGGCTCTGATCCCCAGCACCTGACTGCTTTTTAACTACAGATTTCTGCTCCCACACAAGAGTTTGATTTTATAGATGGGTGATATCCAGAGATTGACTTTGCTGAAAGCTCCCCAGATGATTTTGATGCCAAGTGACTCTAAAGTCTATATTGCTTAATGACCGTGAATAACATCCTTCCATTTACTTCCCTCAAATCTAGTATGGTACTGGGCAGTTAGGCAGCTGTTGGCAAATGACTGCTGTGGCAGAAAAAAAAAGGCTAAATAAATGGGGGATGGGGGAGAGTTAAAAATGACAGAAATTTTACCCTAAGTGGCTGGGAGCACTGTGGTCCCATTAACAGAAGTGAGGAAGAAGTCAGGAGACAGTTTGGAATGAAGGTGGTAAGTCCCACGTTACCCTGGTGACTTCCAAATACACATAGGTAACTCAGGCAAGGGGCCCAGGAGTGAGATGGGGCCAGGAGGAGAGGTGGGCTTCATTCACATCCTAGCAGAGTTTGGGTGTGGCTGAAGAACACTGCAGGCTGTGTGACAGAACTGTGGGGGATGGAGAAAGTCAAGAGGAGAATGAAAAACCAGTAGAGCCAACAGCGTGCGGGGCCCAAAAATCAGAGAAGGGGGTGAGAGAGAACTTAGAGATTCACCTATGTGGTTAAAGAATTTGGGAACTGAGAACCGAGGACAGGCGACTGCACTTATCTATTAGGGAAGCACTGACCATCAAAGAGAGCAGTTTTGCAGGAGAGGCAGGAACAGAAGCCAATCACAGAGATAAAATAAGGAAATGGCTGAAGAGGAAAGCCCAGGCCCCCGTGGTGATCACCCACACTGGCGCTTCTCTGGGAAAGGAAGGCTGTGCAGGTCTTGGGGCCCACTCTTCCTCTGGCTGTCCCTCAAATACCTGTCTTCTGAAATGGGTGCTTTTCTTTCTTGTTTTTGCCCCTGTCCTGCTCCCGTGGCCTCAGCTTCCATCTCTAAGCCAATGACTCATCCAGGCCTCCGTCTGCTCACCCCACACCTCCATCTGTGCTTCTTGCAGGTTCAAGGAGGGATCTAAGATTTCCCTTCGCCTCTCCACACCATCATCCACCCAGCTACCAATCCAGCCCGAACCCAGAAGCTGCCCTTCCTGTCCCTCTGTCTGCCCCCATCACCCTGTCCTGATGCAGGCCTGCTGGTCAACCTGCCTGCACCTTCCTCCCCACCTCTCTCCCTTTGAATCTGGCCTGCACTAAGGCCGTGACCTCAAGGAGGGTTAGGCTCCTTCCTACGCTACCAAGCTGCTGCCAGTCACATTCTATTATCATAAATCTAGTCAGGAGGTCCCACCCAGTGACAAAAGAATGCAGCTCAAGCATTTTAGATGGTTTTGTTCAGGCTTCTTTTCAGCCACACTGACTTGGATGTTTCTCCTATGTGCTGGGCTGCTTCTGCCTTTGTGGCTTTGGTTTGTGGTGGTCCCTGCTCATGGAGGGACCATGAGCTCTCCTCCTGTTCTCTGCCCTCCATCTCGCCATCCTTGACTCCCACCTTCATCCTCTGTCTGACCAACACCCGGCTCCCTCCCTGTTCAGAGTCCAGAGTCCCATCTTCACAGAGAGCCACCCCTCCTCTCCATGTGTCCTTACAACCCTCTTCACCCAAAATGTGTTCAGTATTCTCCATGGCCTCTATTCCATGGAAACCTTAGGCTAGGTGGGAGGAGAGGAGAGGCTCTTGGAGGAGAAGGGGAGAGTGATCCAGCAGTTGTTACCTCGCAGGAAGCCATGGGGGCCTGTGTTCACTGGAAACACAATAAATTTGAAAGAAGGCCTAAAAGAACATCATTAAAATTGCCTCTCCCTGACTTACTCTCTGCTCTTGCCCTTCTCTCTTCTCTGCCTTTTCTCTTTTTCACTCTCTCCTGTATTTTTTTCTCCACTCCCTCCTTTTCCTGGCTCCTTCCTATCCCCTTTTCCTTCAGTAGGAACTTACACCAGCTCCAAGGCATGCCTGCCCTCTCTCCCTCGCCCTGCCTCTTGCCCCTCAGCCAGGTCTTTGAGGCTGGGCTTGTATCTGTCTTTCCAATTGCATCAGCTTGTCAGCTGCTGACCTAGTCATCTGCTTGGGAGAATCTAGCCAGGAGGACAGTGTTAGTGATAAATGAGGTCACAGGAGGAGGAAAGCATGGCAACTTTTCAGATCTGCAGTTATCAATGGGATGTGACACCCATGTCAAGTCCTTGGCCTGAAGTGCTAGTTAAAAGTTCTCCTGTAAAGAAAAGGACACAATAACCACGTGAGTGCTGTGCTTAAGCTCTTCCTTCTAGAGGAGGTGTTTGCTTCTCCTTTTAAGATGCAAGGCCTCATGGCCCCAAAATAACCCTCACATCTGTTTATACCCCTGCTAGAGGGAGGTGATGAAACACATCCACTTGATGGAGATGCAACGGTTATGGTAAGGTTCCAGAACCTTCTCAGTGCTGCACATGTACCCACGTGTCCTTTCTCAGCCTTGGCTTAGGCAGAGGACGCTGTGGATTCCCCTGCTCAGCAGTGTGAGTTAAGTGTGGGATAGGGATAGTCTTCTGCCCTGTACACTTAGGGGACTGGTGCAACCCAAGAATCTTATGGGAATGGGGATTCTGCCAGGCATCACAGAGTGACAAACAAAAGTGAGCAGTTAGCCCTAAAACCAAATGGGATCGGCATGATTTTCTTCTCTGCCTGATGATATTTAATAGCAGGAATTCAGATTAGGTGTAAATAATATAAAGCCCAAAGGAGACAATTGCTGATGATTTTTAAAACTCTATTCACTTGGAACAGAATCAGCCCAAGCATTTCTCTGATACGGTTGTCCCTAAAACTGTCTTCTATTGTGGCTGCCTGCTGAAGAGAAAAATGATGCCAAATAGGAGGTTGTTTGTAAGCAGTCCCTCTGCTCTGCTTAAAAATAAGTTAGATACATCAGAAACTGCTCACTGCTGTCATGAGAACATAGGGAAGCATGCAAAATTCTGCTTTTACATTTAAGCAAACAAGTGGGCAGGGACATAAAGACCATCTAATCCAATCTCTTAATTTTGCAGCTGTGCAACATGAGGCTCAGAGAGGCAAATAGTTATGGAGGCCAGTCAGCCCAGCACCCTTCCTCTGGGTTCCCTGCAGCCTTCAGTAAGGCTCAGATTCTTAAGTTCTGGGTAAGTAGAGCTGAGAGCTGGCTCCAGGAATTCCCACCAGTATTTACACCTAACAAGGCAAGAAACTATGGTTACCCAGTACCCAATTTACCACCAGGAGCTACTTCAGTAGCAGGAAGAGTGGTACCCAGGATGGCAGAGCTGCCAGCAAAGGTACCGAGCAGGACAGTGCAGGGGGAATCCTGCAGGCACCTCTGGTTTACTAGGACTCCAAGAATACATGACCATTCCTTCTGCCAAGCACTCTAGTGGCTCTTGATCCTGGAAAGAAAGGGACCATACCACTATCTGCCTGAAGGACAGACAACCAACCATTCCCAATCATTGCTGGAAAAAACCCAGGTTTCTACAGGAAATCCAGTCCCCAGCTGTGTTTGCCACTCCATATGTAAGAGAAGGGCCTCAAGGAAGCATAAACACTTTCCTATTTAATCTGCATTCTTTGCAAGCCTGGAGTCCTGAGTGTGTTGGCCACTCTCCTGATTCCCAAGTCGAGGCGCAGAAACTGAAGTGTAGCAATCAGACATAATGGTTGAGCAGAGCCCGCCTCGATGCTTGCACAGTAGTGTGTTAATGAGTGTTAAAACTGACATTGCAAATACAGCGTTCTCAATATTTAAAATTACAACTCTGTAACAAGTCATGCTGTTAAAACATACAAGAAATACCAGTTAAGCCTTCAAGTAGACACTGCACAGCCCATATAGACCGCTGCTATCCCAAAGTGCATAACAAATCATTTTCTTGGAAACGAGGCAAGAATTAGCAGGTGGTTCCATTATTTGAGTACTAAGATAAGTAGAAATAACAAATCCAAATATTAAATACCAATTACTACCTGATGAGCTACAAATCAGCTTGGCATTACAACATGCCCCTCCTCAACAGCAAACCCAGAAAACATGGGGATTTGGTGGAAAACACAAACCTATGACCAATGTGCATTCATGCAATAAATGTGTATCACTTCCCAACCTAGGCCTTTCAAAAAGCTTGTCCCATATATTGTGAGAAAACCCTGGCCCAAATATTTGTCCCAATGTTCTTTGAAAAGAACCATCTTCAAATGGTGGAAGTGATGCCGCTCTCAAGCCAACAGCTGGAAATGAGTCATAGCATTTCTACTTTGTCCTAAAGAAGGTTTACAGATCAGTTTGATAGCTTTGTGGCCAAACATGTCATCTCATGCTTGCTAAGAGTGGTGCAGAAAATTAACCTCCCTGATTAGTTTCTGGGACCAGAAGAAATTGCTACAAAGAGGCCGAGTTATCTAGCAAGGTCAATCAAACACCTTGTCTCTGAGACAGCTCATTTCAATGGGACCTTGGGGGAGGGGAGGGTTCCCTGGTCATAGTTTAGTCTCCATCTATTGTGGGAATTCACTGCAGTGTTCAAGCCATCTGAGTTCTTATCTCTCAGTTATTTGAAACCACTATTTGGAAAACTTAATACTATTGAGATATTCTTAAGCTGAAAAGTGACTGAAGATCCCAGTAGGCAAAGGAATATTTTTACAAGTATATATGTGTGTGTGTGTATATATATATATATATGTATGTACAAGAGATGTTAAAAACACAGTCTCTAAAGCATTTTGGGATTCCCCCAAAGAAAGGCACCAGATAAATGCAAGTCATTACCAAAAAGAAAAGTCAAGTTTTCCAGCTTTTCATATCTGCAAAGGTAACCACTAAGGGTGGTAAAACTCTCTCTCTCTCTCTCTCTCTCTCTCTCTCTCTCTCTCTCTCTCTCTCTATCTCTTTTGGTGGTAAAACTGCTTGTTTGGAAAGATCCTCAGGAGAGTGACTGAGTTATTCTGCCTCCTTCCTTGTTTCCACTTTGCACAGCTTTATGGTCAGTGACCATGGATACCACACTCAGTGACCCGATACCATCAACCCTGACATACTTGTGACAGTACTCATAAGTTTGTACCATCACCTGCCTGCAGTGCAGCTGGGATGATTTTGTAAATTTTCTGCCCCCCAGGACTGGAAAACAACATCCAAAGCCAAAAATTCCATGTGTAAAATCTGAAAAAATAACCCTGCTCTTCTGACTCACTGGTCTGTTGTCTTTAAGTCATCTCCCCTTTCCTGATGCTTCTAAGAAACGTATATACATCTGCACATAGGCACTCTGTGCACATAGGCACATCTGCACATGGCCACCTCTCCCCCAAGCCCCCACCATGAGACTTCAGTCTGATGGAAGGATTTGAACTGGAGGCTCAAGGGCATAACTGGCCTATGTATTCAACCAACAAATCGCCCACACTGCAGTAGCTATGGCAACTACAAGTACACAAAGACCTTTGAGAATATCCTTTCCACACTCTTGTGAAGTATGGATTATCCTCAACCTACTAAAACACAAAATGGACCTCATAAGGGGAGGCCCAAGCTTTGGATAAAAGCCTGCCTAACTTCCTGCTTAGATTCCTGGATTCTACAGTCTTGCAGAAGACTGAACTATAACGAAAGCCACCTGGAAAACCATTAGATTACCTAGAAGATGACAGAAAAGGATTATCTTACAAAGGGGCCAGGTTCCCCTTCTCAATGTCATGTGCTGGTTAACTAAAGAGGAGGTAGGGCGTTTTGGAGAAGAAAATGATAGTCTCCCTACAATACAAGCTTAGCAGTTTAAAGGTCTTTTAAATAGCCTTATGCTATTCAAGAAGTTTACAATTATTTATGACATTTTATGAAGTAGAAATTTTTTGATTTATAGCTTTTGCCTGGCCTCTACCCACCCTCTCCCAATAAATGGCAATTGGAATGGAAATAAAACTTTAGTGTTTCCATCCTGGGTAAGCCACACTGTCTTCATGCCCATCTAAATTTTGAGTATACACTTCTATATCACCATGTCATGGCAGGAATTCAGGGCAACCTTAACATCAAATGCAATGTACTATATCCTAGAAGCAAAACTATCTGGGCAAATTCTGCTTGGAATTAAAAGGGCTCTTATTTTATGAGCTTTTAGAGCAGTCAACAAAAGTATTTAAGCTACTGCTCTTGCTAGCAACCTAGTAATGTTCCCCTCGGGGAGACAATACGACAGTAAGCCTCTTCTAGGCTGAGAAAGACAACATAACCTAATTCTTAAATGTCTTAAAAATTAAATATTTCAAAAACATGCTAATATCTAAGACACAGCAAACTTTGGTCAAATGGCTTAGACCAGGAACCTACCTCAGCCAGAAATAAATGTCTCTATGATCACCCTAGGAAAGAGGGAGGCCTAGCCATGAATGATAGAGCTTAGATTGCATGGACTCTCGGACTCAGATTTAAGCATCCTGGGAATTGGCCTATGTTCAGCTGAAGTCCCTGTCCCTAATGTATGTCTTCTTTGGGAAAAATAAACTTATCTTCACTACATGTTTAACAGTAACATTCTCCAAAGAGTGACATTTACAAGACAAACATCAGTATATATCTTTCTAAAAATGTTTGGTACACCCATGCAAGCCACAGAGCTACAGATATTTAGAAAAACAACTCACAGGCTTGCATTGGTCCTGTGTGCTTAACTTTGCATTCTCTTTGATTTGGTATTAAAACTAAATGAAAGCAAGGGATAAACAACTGAGGTTTTTTTCACATGACTGTGAGCAAAATCTCATGATATCCTTGCTGACCTCATAGATAGATACGTTTCCACTGGACAGATTTGAGGGGACTTTTTGTATAGAACTCACACAACAATCTCAGAAACAGGAACACAAAGAACTCACACATAATACCAGGGCACAAGCACTAGAATAGTGTACATGGTGGACAGAGAAATTGGCATTCTGGGTACTCATCTGGCAGAAAGATGAACATTTTATGCCCACGATGCAAAGACCAGTGAGTGTCATTTCGTTGAAAGGTGCAAAGGCATGGTGTCAGACACACCACCCTCTAAAAATGATTCTAAACACTGCAAAAGCAACCGGGGATGCATATCCCATGCATCTGTCCCCTCTGGGGTTGCGCAGACTCCTTACGCCACAACCTTAAGGTGCCTGTACTGTGCCAGAAGCACAAGAGGCAGCTCAGCAATGTGGGTTTGAGGATAGCAAGTCCTCCCAGCTAATGTAGGGAATCATTTAAACTCAGTTCACTTGGTGAACTCCTGCTCATGTTCGTCAGGCTCGCCATGAGGGATTTAACTTTATGGGCATAATAGTCCCTTAAATTGACAGAAGGGACCTCCTTCATTCCATCTCCAAAGTCACAGCTGCGCATGGCACTCTCAAGTTGCTTTTGGCGGCGATAAAAGTGGGAGAACTTATTGAAGATCAAGGTGATGGGCAGTACTACCACAAGGATACCTGCCAAGATGCAGGCAGAGGCAGTCAGCTTCCCTGCTGTGGTCCCTGGGACCACATCCCCATAACCCACTGTGGTCATACTGACTGTAGCCCACCACCAGCAGGCAGGGATGGTGGCCAGGCCCTCATTCTCCTCCTTTTCAATAGTGTAGGCCACCACAGAGAAGATGGAAATTCCCACAGAGAGGTACAGCAAGAGCAGCCCTACTTCTTTGTAGCTGTATTTCAAGGTGGCCCCCAGAGAGCGGAGGCCAGTGGAGTGTCTAGCAAGCTTTAAGATGCGGAAGATCCGCATCAGCCTCAGGACCTGGGCCACCCTGCCCAAGTTGGCCAAAGTAGGTGTACTTTCCACCACCAGGTTCACCACTAGAGTAATGTAAAATGGGACAATGGACATGAGGTCAATAAGGTTTAGAGCATTCTTGAAGAACTTGAGGAAATCGGGGGCCACAGCAAACCTGGCCACAAGCTCAAATGTGAACCAGGCAATGCCAAAGTGCTCCACAATTTCAAATCTGGGGTCCTCACCAGGATTGCCTTGGCCATCGGGGATTTGGAAATCTGGTAGGCTATTGAGGCACATGGTGATGATGGACCCCAACACCACCAGGATGGACAGGATGCTAAAGACCCTACTCAGTACTGAGTAGCCAGGGTTGTCCAGCGCCAGCCATAGCTGCCTACGGAAGTTGCCCAGGGGCTGCCCATCGAACTTGGAGGCGTCGTTGTAGAAGGCCAGGATCTCATCAAAGGAGGATGTGGTGCTTTCCTGGTCACTCTGCTCGTCCCACTTCTCCTGCTCAGGTTCCACTTTGCGACCGTGATAGCTGTAGCTGCAACAGGAGTCGATGAAGAACTCGTTGATGCCCCAGTATTCAATCTCCTGGCTGAAGGAGAAGACGCACAGCTCGGCCATGACGTGAAGTTTGCCGGTGTGGTAGAAATGCAACACGTAAGGGAAGAGTTCGGGGTTGCGGTCGAAATAAAACTCACGCTGGACATCGTCGTAGTCATCGCAGAGCTCCAGAATGGCCTCGCGCGAGTGGCAGAGCAGTAGGCGGCCCAGGCGCGTCTCCGGGAAGCGCAGCAGCGTGTGCGAGCGCAGCCGTCTCTTGAAGCCGCCCACATTGATGCGGATCTCCCCATCCTCGACGTTGGCCTCCGACAGGTCCCACAGGCTCTGGCCGGTCATGCTGGAGATGCCCTGCAGCCCGCGCCGCGCGGGGGCGCTACACCTGAAAGCCCAGGGAACCGAACAGCGTGAGCGCCCGGCGCTCCCCGCCCCTGCGCCCTTCTCCTTCTCCGCAGGGATACCTGCGGGCCCAGTACTCTCCAAGCGGGTCTCTGAGTGCTGAAGGGCACTGAGGTGGGGGAACAGCTCTGTGGGGGTTGGCCTTCTCCCAAGGAAAGGCAGGGGTCTATGTACTAGTATGGCAGCGCCTCCACTCCCAAACCAGGGGTCTTGGCATCGCTTTTCTCGTGCCAGGGTCGCGCCCCAGCGGCTCTGAGAGCCCAGGGGGTTGAGAGCTGACCTTGCCGGTAGGCAGGCGGAGAAGACGCCCCCGCCCGCGCGCCGCAAACAGGCGGGACCACAGCTGAGATACGCACCCGCAGGGCTGGGCCGAGAAGGGGGACACGTAGATTTGGGAGGGGGCGGGGAAATTTACCGCTCTATTCTCCTGGGCCGGGAGAAAGGGGGACAGCTCGGCGTCCCCTGTGTTCAGCCCCCACGACTAGAGCCCCTTTTGCATGTTCCCTCCCTGGCTTCCCCCGCCCTCCTGGCGCGGTGCCCCGGGGCCGCGTGCGCTGCGCCTTAACCCAGCGGAGCTGCCCGGGCTCGCCCTGCGCGTTCTGGAAGCACTTACCTGGGAGCATCGGCGCCCGCGGCCGAGGCCGGCGGGAAACTTGCACGACCTGCTAGCGAGCATCTCAGCGGTGTCCGCTGCCGGCTGGCTGTGCGTGTGCGCGCGGGTGCGAGTGTGTGTGCGCCTGTGTGTGCGCCCGGCGGGCCAGCGGGCGGGGTCCACCCAGCGTTTCCTCCAGTCTCCGGCCCTGCACTCTGCCGTCGTCCGCAGTTGCGGGAGGCTCACAGGTGGCTGCGTGGCCCCAACGCTCTGGAGCCCCCGTCTCCGGATCCGCGCGCCCCTCACCCTCCGAGAGAGGCAGGAACCCACGCCTCAGGCGCCCGCGGAGCAGGAGCGGGAGCTGAGCTGGTGCGCTTTGGCGCGGTCCCTGCGCTGGGGCGCGGCGCGGTGGTGCTGAACGGACAGCTCCGCGCGCCTCAGCTGGGGGCGCGGCTGTCGCCCCAGACTCTGAAGATGCAGCAGCAGCGGCAGCAGCAGCAGCAGATTCTCTGCGCTCCTCGGGCGCGTCACTGCGACCTTCCTTGTGTCCCCAGCTCAGCGCCGGGCCGACACCTTTCCCTATCCTCGACACATCCTCCGATGACAGCTGCTGTTGCCATCACCCCCAGGTCGCAGACAGAGGGTTGCCTTCGGTGACCTTGCCCTGCTGGGTCTGTCAGGAGATCCATGACTTGTGCGTGTCCAAGGATTAGGGCAGAACCAGAAATCTCCGGGTTTTCCAGTTTAGGGAACTGAAGAAAAGTTTCCCCAAGCCTGAATCTGGGGTTGTTGGGAAACTGAAGCTGGATGGAAGAGAAAGAGGTCAGGGAAGCCTAAGGTTGAGCTTGGCTTAGCTTGCCAGAGGGTTTGGGAGAGGGTACGGCAGGGGCGCAGGGCCCCTCAGTGTGGGAGGGAGTCATGGAGTTCTGTTTGGGAACTCTGAGTGGGCGCCGTGTGTGTACAGGCTAGTATGGTGTGTGGGCTGTAGGGGAGTACATGTGTGTGTGCATGTGTGTGATCTGAGAACAGTAGGAATTTCCAGACAGTGAAATAGTTCCTCTGATGGGTGGGGAGATGTGTGCAGTGTCAGTACAGGCAGAATCCGGACTTGTGTGTGATGTGTGTATATAATGTGGGACTGTGTGCTGGGTGCAGTGTCTGAATCCAGCATAGATGTGCTAAGTATCTGTGTCCCCATTCACAAGACTTGTGCCCCAGATCTGAGTTCCTGGTGTCCTAGGATTGTCCTTAAAGCTCTCCTGATGAGCTGAGGTGAGAAATGGACCTGAAGTCCCTGTGAGTCCCTTCCCTTTGGTCTCTCAGCCTTTTCCATGGTCCCCATTTGCAACAACTGGAGCACTGTGAAGTGTGCAAACTTAACAGGGAGATTGCGTCTACATGTCATGGTCAGAAATCCTGGAACAGCCCTCGTAGGGTGCCTGGATTCATAGGCCAGCCACCACAGCCACAGTGAGAAGCACATCCTCTTAACACAGCTGTGGCAATGCCATCCCTCTCCACTCTGTGTAGCAGTAGAGTGCTTTGGGAGAATCCTTGATCTGGCGTCATGTGGGGACTCCTGGATGCAAGCCTGACCCATCACCTGTGCCAACCGCTTGCCTTTGAGTGTGTGTGTGTGTGTGTTAGAGACTATATATATATATATATATATATATATATATATAGAGAGAGAGAGAGAGAGAGAGAGAGAGAGAGAGAGATATGGCATTTGGGGTCTTTGTGTCTATTTCTATCAGAATCTGTTTGGGCATATTTTCACCTTATTCTCTGTCTAAGTCTGCTCCATCTAACACTTGTGCTCTCCGACACCTGGCTGGGCTGCAATCCAGAGGCCTCTGGGCTCCATCCCCACAGGAGTGCTGCTAATAGTGTGCCAGCCTTTGCAGAGGGTGCGTGTTTTTGTGCATGTGTAATCACTGGGTTGCTGCTTCTTTCACTCTTTTCAATCCCCTCCCACACCTTGGGGGAGAGTGGCTCGAGGTTTCCCTGCTTTAGGTGCCTTTAGCAGCACCAGGGGACAACCTTAGCAGCCCTGCTGCTCTCTCTAGCCTTCATCATCCTCTACCTCTGGCCACTCCAAAGCTTGGCTTCACTGCCATATGTCTGTGGCTTTTGCTGAGTGCCACCTTTTATTCCCAGTCACTCCCACTCCTATGGCCTTAGCTTCTGACTCTTCTCATTGTATTCTATGGATAAACCACCTTTACTTTCTTTGAGGTCCCCTCTCCTACAAACTCTTGGGTTTGATCACTCTGGGGTTTTCCTTCCTCCCCTGCTTTATTTATCTGCCTGTTCCTTCTGCTCCTGCCTGTTTTTGTTCTTGCTTGTTCCTTCTTCCTTTGTGGTTGTGGGAGACTTTGCCCATATATAGATAGAGCCCCTCTGTCTTCTCTTTGTCTCTCCCACACCAGGCTGCTGGGGCTCTACCTGGCCACTGGGGCTCTCACCCCTCTTATATCTCTATTAGGGGCTGCTCCATCCCCTCCCAGCACTGCTCCCAGCCCCCACCCCTGCCAACCTCCTTCTGCCTCCCACCTTTCCTTTCACTCACTCCTCCCCCTTGTCCCTTTCCATGCCCTGAGCTACACTGGTGCTCCTCATCTGTGTCTGCTGCCTTTTCTTAGCTTTTCCTGTGAGGCTGGGGCCAGGAATAAGCCTCCATGTGCACCTTTCCTGAAACATCAAAGTGAACTTGGAGCCCATGGGGAGAAGTTTGTGGCATATCAGTTATTTCTTGGAAAGGCTGAGGTGGAAGCTTTTGGGTCTGACAGGTGCCTTTGCAGAGGGTTAAGTGTATGTGACAGGCAGAGCCACTTGTTTATTTCCCAGTCACTGTGCTGAAGAGAAATGGAGCCGTCTTCCTCCTTCTGTACGGGGGAAGCTAGCTTTGTTTATGCTTTATTTAAAGGTCTGAGTCCTGATCTTAAAATACAGCTGTCTGCTCCCTGTGCGCGTCAAGGCTGGCCTGGGGAGATCATGAGGAGGGCACCCTGGGAAGGGGGACCAGGGAACTCCAGGGAGTGGCCAGGATTCTTGCACCTAGGTGATTAATAGCTCTGTCTCCCCTGCCAAAGCAGAGCTCAGCTGAGCCCACACATCTCAGACTCAGCTTTTCCTCCCTGACAGGAAAGGGGGCTGCATTAGTGGCTTAGCTGAGGGAGCTGGGCTCCTTGACCTACATTCCCTACTACCAAGAGGAGCGGAGTCCCTGTCCTTCTCATGGGCCATGATCACAGGTATGCCTGAGACTCTGATGGCATGTGCTATTCACCTGTGCCCATCCTGCTGCCCACCAGCCACCCTCCCACTGCAGCCCAAGTGTCTCCTAAAAAAGCACATCTGAGTCATGTCCTTTCCTTCTGAAAACCTTCCAGGGGTTTCCCATTGTACTGGGGAGGAAAACCACTCACCTACTCCCAGACCTTCCATGATGTGCCCTGGCCAGCCCACCTCACAGATGGCGTCCCCTTTCGCTTCTCTATCCATTGTGCCTCAGCTACATGTCCTCTTTGCTTCCTGTGCAGGACCTCTGCACCCACTGTTCTGTCCACTTGTCATGGCAGCTTCACATGACAGGCTTCATCTTGTCACTCAGTTCTTAGTTTAAATGTCTGCCATCGCCTTTGTAACACTCAATAGTTGTTGAATACATAATTAAATGACGAATGAAGGAGACTCAACTGCTGTGTTAAGTTATTCTATGCCAGCTAGAGTCTTGATCCCAACTCTTGTTCCCCTGATGGGTCAAAAGGGGGCCTGGAGGGGTGTTGCTGTGCCTGGGACTTTGGTCTGGAGCCCCCAGGTTCTGGGGTGCTCTCCCCAGCAACCAATTTGATCCAGCAACCTAGTTGGATCTGTCCCTAGCTGCACATTAGAATCACCTGGGGAGTTTTAAAAATAGCCAATGTTCTGAAAATAGAAGGGAAAGCAATAGAGTAGAGGAAGGGGCTGGGGGAGGAGAGGAGGGGAAGAAGAGGTACTCGGGATAAACTGACCAAATTGTTGTGTGCACATATGAGTTCGTGACAATGACTCCCACCATCATGGATAATTATAATGCACTGATAAAAAATGAATTGTATAACAAAATAACCAGTGCTCCTAGATGCCTTGAGTCTCACACCAAACCAATTAAATCGGAATTCTGGGTGGAGGACATGAGAAATCAATGTTTTCGTAAAGCTGTCTGTGTAAGTCCAGTGTGGAGCCAAGGTTGAGAGCCTGAGCAGCCCACCCAGAGCTGTGTGCCCAGGAGCCTGCACCCAGTGGTCAGCACCAAGGGCAGGGGCTGCATCTCAGTTTGGAAGTCTCTCCCACTGCCCACTTCTTGGGGTGACACCCGCCTGCAGTGAGTACATCATAAAGCCTCTGTGTCTTAGCCATCATGTCCCTCCATCCCAGCCTCCTGCAGGAGTCATTGTGATTGTTCCTCTGAGAATCCTTTACTGTGGGGATAATTTGTAATTAACAATAGCTACAGTTTCTTCTCCTTAGAAGGCACTGGGCTCCTGAGCTGTTGTGTATTGACTGTGGTATGGGACTGAGGACAAGTCCTGTCTGGGTGGATCAACAGTGAGAAGGACACAGAGAAGTTTCTGGGGATTGGGGACAGAAGCCTGCCTGGGAGAGATGAGGAAAGCAGGAAAGGGAGATCCTGAGTGGAGGAATCCATGTCTGAGCCTTGGGAAGGCTGAGTGGATGGAGGGAATGATGAAGAGAAAAGTTGGGGGTAAAGGGTCATACAAAGTTTAGCTGCACATTGTGAATGCAATTCCTCATTAAGTGTTTTGTCAGGAGGCAACAGTAAATGAAAATGTAGTTTTGCATTGTCTCTGAATGTGGGACTGCATTTTCTTAATGGTTGTGAGTCTTATGCAGGCCTTTTGGCTTTATCCCCAGAGGCTATCTCCCTTATCCAGTGACCTCCCCTATATCCCTGTGTGCTCCCTGGAGCCAGACAGGAGACAGCAGACTGTGGTTGTTGAGAAGCCCCTTGATAAAAAGGGGATCAGGTCCTCCACACCTGGCATGCACAAAGTCTGCTCCTGGAGAGCTGGAGTCCCACCTTTTATGTTTCTACTTCGAGTCCCTTCTGCAGGGGAGGAGAAGTGGGGAGCACTACTCTCTTGGTCCTTCCACCGAATTCCCCAGAACATCCTAGGGCAAAGCTGGAATAATTGAGAGAAACTTGATTAAATTGAGACTTAGCATCACCACAACCATTTAATGACATTAGGACAACATGGCTGCAGAAGTGGGAGCAGGCACCTTCCTCTAGGAGCCACTCCTAGCCCCACCCTCACCTGGGGGCCTGGCCATCTTTCCCCTCTTGCCCAGGTCCTCCTTAAACTCCACAGAATAGACATAGTTTGAAGTCTGGACACCAGGAGCTTCCTGTCCATCT